CTCCTTTTCCTGTATGCAACTTTCAGGAAGAACACAGCATGGCCATACAAATCAGTAATATGAGATAGAGACTTGCCTTCATTGAACAGAATATTCTGTGAGTTAATTCATGGACCTGTAGAGTTCTCAAAAAAAAAACAAAAAAAAAACACCTGACTAGACTGCTATTAGGGATTTGCACTGGTATACGTTGACTAAAATTTAGTCACTAAATCACAGTGTTGAATTTCCATGTTGCGGTCCAGTCATGTGACTTGGCACACATCAGGAATGTAAGTGGCAACTTCGGTGGCTAGCAGTTTGCTGCCACAATTTATACAATTACACATAAGTCAGAATAAAGCCCCAAAAGGTTTCTGGCCAGTAAAAAACAAACTTTAGAAGGATTTTAGCATTTTAGAATTCTTTTCGTTGCTCCAGGGATAGAGTTTTCTATTTTTGGGAAACGAATAGTTCATTAATTATACAAATTCTCAGCAAGTTGGGTCCTTTAAGTGATTATTTTTCCTCTGTTTTGTTCTCAACAGTGATAAACTAAACGCCTTAAGAAGACATAAAGAAAAACTGGAGGAGAAGATAATGGATCAATATAAGTTTTATGATCCAGCTCCAAAAAAGTAAGTATTATCAGTCTAAAAGGGCTCATGGGCAAGCCAGTCTAATGCAGAAAAACATCCCTTCTCTGAGTGACAGCAACTTTTATACAAGCCCTTTGAAAGCAGAAAGGTGATAGTAAATTCCATTTTCTTTATCACAGCTTAAGATTTTTATTGAGACTCAAGGGTTACAACCGATATTAACATGGAAGTAGATGGGCTCTGCCCTTAAAAATACTCCAGTCCTTCTCCCAGATCATTGTTAATCAACTGGAAGTCCAAAATGTTCCTTCTGAGATTGTTAAAATGAGTACCCAGCTCAATGGAAGGCAAGTTGTTGTTTGCATAATTATGTTGTAAACCACCCCGAGAGTGTTCTAAGCACTGTTATTGTTATATGCTGTCAAGTGGCCCCTGACTTATGGCAACCCCATGAATAAGCAATCTCCAAAATTGCCTGTCCTGAACTGCCCTGCTCAACTCCTGTGAACTCAAGCCTATGGTTCCTTTATAGAGTCACTTGGTTTTCCTCTTTTCTTGCTGCCTTCAAGCATTCCCAGCATTATTGTTTACTGCCTTCTCATGGTGTGCCTAGAGTAGCACTATGAAGCAGTATATAAATCAAAACAACAAACAAATAAGCAATATAGCCTTATGCCTACTGGGTGATTAAAAGTACCGACATCATGACTCTAAATCCAGTTTGTAGTTTCATGTATTGATGAAGATCAAGAAAAATCTTTTGCTGCACTCATATTTTAAACAGCATTTTTAAAAACTGATTGTTCCATTTTAACATTTTCCGATAATAGGAAAAACCATTGGATAGCAGCTAAAGCCTTGGTTAAACTCATAAAGCCTAAGAAAGAGGCTGCAAGAGAACAACTGAAATCGTCAGCAGAGAGCCCTCCGTGGCATTCAGAGAGCGCAGAGATGGCCGGATCACCGTCTCCCTTGCAACTGCCGAAGCAGCAGGAGAGTCTGGAGGGCACCTCGACAGAGTCCGGTTCCATGGAGGGCAGGGAGCATAATAATGGGCCTGCCAGCAAAGGTAAGTGGTTTTGGCTAACCCGCTCAGAAATGTTCTAGCCGAGAAAAGGTTAAGAGTAGAGTCCAGCCAGATTTGAGCATTTCCAGTATCTATCAGAACAGTAAGAAGCTGTTGAGAATTAAGCAAAGACTTTTAAAATATTTTAGGCTTGCAAGCGTGAAGGTAAAATGTGTATTGGTGATATGGGTAGCCTCACGCCTGCATTTCAACCAGAAGTCAGGCAGACTTCTATTTGTTCACCACAAAAATAGGCTAAAACAGTTGTAAGTGCATTCAGAAGAACAGTGACACGTGTAAAGGTCTCCCTGACTTTAGATTGGGGAGGCAGGGAATGGGCCCATCTGTCCCTCTCCTCCACCACATTTGCAACATTATGTGCTTTTAGGGTTAGTGCCTGAATAGAGTTAGTGAGAACGGTGTTTTGGGGATAACAGGTCTTACCAGTTTTGGGAACCCCACACTCCACGCTTTGACTTTGCCCTGCAAAAATAAGCAAGTATTCAGGAATATACAAAGGGTTGCATTTATATAAAGACCAGATACATTAGTTTGCATTTTATAATGTGCAGAGTCCATTTAGCAATTTCTGTCAACTGCTTATTGGATGGGGGGGGGGTCACTCTGATAAGCTGTTAATAAAACTCAGCTTAAAAACAGGTTAAACTTCAATTGTATTGTTCTTCTTTTGTGCGGACTTCCTTGGAAGCCATGATGACTGAGAGGTGGTCAATAATAAATAAATCAGTTCCCAGACTATTTATTCTGTTGCCATGCATCCTAACAAATATGCTAATTTTACATACTTATCGAATGATTAAAGACATCTCTTTCAAATTACATGCTTTGTCTTAAATGTTCTGAATGTACTGATAGAAATGTTTACTTTACAAGTAGTTTCAGGCAAAGAAATCATAGTCTGAGGTACCTCAGCAGACCAATGTAATTTGAGACTTTCGACTCTCTGGTCTGCCTTGGTAACAGCAGAGGGAGCAAGTGGAATAGAAACAATAGAACAAGTCCGGAGAGTTTATAATTAAGTGAATGGTGGGGACAGAGGTGTACAGGGTTAGCCTGTTCCATGGGACTTGTTGGGTATCTAATGATGCTGATTGGAGTTTTTCATGTTATAATCAGTTGTCTTGTAGTGTAAAACTGTTAACATTTTGTCTTAAAGTGCAAGAAGTAATCGATTTATCTGGATAAAAGCAACCTTGCAGAAGCAACCTTGAGAAATAATTACATTTATTTGAAGGGCAGGAACGAAATCTCAATGTTTAGTAAAAGTGCAGTGATTACTTTCCTCAGGCAGGGCAATTCTGCATGCCGGTGCAGACAGTTTTGACATTGGAGCCTCTGACAGATCAAAAGCCCTGCCAGCACAAACCCAGCACTGCAGAAAGCATGGACGTTGACGTTCCTACATTCTCTTTCCCAGGGCCCTTTTTCTCCTTAAAAAGTCAAAAACAAGGGGAGAGGATTTATGTGAGCGAGAGGGATGGGGTCACTCATCAGTCAAGGGAGGGCAAGGTCTAGGGACTAGGAGAGTGAGTTGTGGCCTCCCTCATTCTTTCCTGACACGCCTCATGGGACCGTTAACACCAGGCTTCCAGAATTCTGCAATAAGGAAGGAACCACTGCAGAAAATGCAGTGGAGGCCGGGGGAAAGGAGTGCAGGTTGGATTTCCACTTCTGAAGCCAGAACATTCTCCTCTTCCCCAAATCCTGTGGTCCTTGGGACACCTTTCCAGAGACCATAGGATTGCAGCCTTCATGTTTCTGTGCTGTAGTGATATTTATGAAAGGAATAGATAGTGACGATCCACCTGTGTTTATAGCATTATATAGGATTTGGAATAGATGGACTTTCAAAAAAGGATCTTATTACGAAGGCCCTATATCGTATTTAAAAATTGAGTGCTTAACTGTGTGCTTTGAATCCACCAAATTCAGTGTTATCTAGGAACACCTCACAGTTAATCCAATTCTGTGAAGAAAGAGTACTAATTTCTTATGTGAAATATGTGAACTCCACCTCTAGACCCTAATGTGTGACTGTAGCACACAACAACTTTTGTCTGCATGCAGACAAGAACTTGCAGCTGATCATTTCTTCCCAGCGCTACTGTTCTTGGTTGTATTTTTCTACTGATACCTTTTTAAAATCATTTTATTTGTAAACTGCCCTAAAAAGCATTTTGGAAGAGCCATGTGAAAATTCCTGTATACAAAAATAAAGAAGAATGCATGACAAGGGCAAAAAAATGGCAGCATCTCAATGCAACCATGTGCCAGCTGTCTAGAGAGTCCTGCCTGCCCATGTTTAAGTTCAAGCGGTGTGCTCAGAAATGTTCCCTTATCCCTCTTGCTTTAGCCCTAGGGCTTGGGGGTGGGGTGGGTATAACAAAGATTTCTACTCTACGTATGAAGTGACAGTGTCTGTTTTAATCACAGATAATAGAAGTTGTTGCTACGCATTGTTCATATCTAATCCCTCGCCTAATTTAATAGCTGCTGTAGAAATAATATAGCCCTTTTTCATGTGTTGCTAGCCTCTTAGTTTGAAATGCATTTTAGTTATTTCTGTTACCTTTTTTTCTTCTTCTTTTTGGGATCTCTGGGTGATAACAATTAGCTGCTCAACGCAAAAAGATTGCCTTTTTGAGAAGCACAAGCAAGCCCAAAGAAAAGTCTCCTAAGTCTCCATCAAGTCATCCGTCTCTCTCTAATCGCCTCTGGTTCTGGTCGTCTTCTGACATCCCATCCTCTCCTAATGAGCCACTTTCTTTCTTGGAAACAGGAGATCTCTAACACTTTCTCTTACTATTCATTCTCCATGCCTTTCCGAAATACGTATTCAACTTAAGTAATATTAATATCTGCACCCGCGCACACAAAAACACACACTCTTACAGGAATTAATCAGATCAAATCATTGACACAGACTAAATCCAAGAGCAGATCAAGTCAACACGGACTACCTTTTCCCTTCAGTGAAATGCAGGACCTTTATTATACAGTCGGAATCATTTCTGCAGTGCAGTACACTTTAATGACACCCATGAGATACAGTGCCCATATGTTTACAGTGCTATTGGTGGTGGTGCACATCTTAAGTAAGTGAACTTGCTATGTGCTTCAGTAATGTTTTGCAGTCACCAGTGTGCCTCATGTCCTGTCGAAATGTGGAAATAAGCTGATGTTGCTGTGTTGCCAACAATGCATTCTCCTTAATAATATCTGCTGATTCTGTACTGAGAATTCCGTATAGCCGCTAGACCTTTTGCAATATGCTCTGTTTCCAATATGCTATTTGCCTGTTTTCTGCTAATGCTGCAGTGCTGGAAATGCAGAGACACCTATTGCTAGCAAGGATTGTTTGACTCTGATCTTCCAGATCTTTTCATTTCTTAATCTGTGTGTCTCATTTTTGGAAAATGTCACATGTGTATTGCCATTACAAAGTGCAGTAAATCCTATTTCAGTTACGCAGTGAACAAAACACTATTGTAGTTGTGCAGGAAACAAACGCCTTTGCAGCTACCCTTAGTGTTATCTGAGCATTCCCTTCTGAGTTACGATCTGTTTTCTCTCTAATTAATTTTTAAGAAGGTATTTAAAAACACATATTTTTAGGCAAGCCTCTGGAACTAGTGTTTAGTTTAGCATGCCCCTGCTGTGTTGTTTTTAACTACACATTTTGTTGATCTTAATGGTTTTAATACATTTAGTTTATATTAATAGGCTGATTTTACTTGATTTTATGGTTTTACTTGTTTTTTACATCTTTCATGAAGGCTGTTAGATACCTTGAGAGATACTTTCTAACAGAAAAGCAGGGTGTGCCTATAACAGTGCAGACATTTTGCCGTTAGACCAAACACAGGCAGATAAACAGCATACATCATGACACTTACCTCACACTTTCTGTAATATACTTTGCAACTAATCTGTGCTTAATACTAAATTGTCCTTTTCTGTTGTCTGTGCCAGCTGTTTGTTACTTTTAACACCATCCTGTTTATTTTTCAGGCATGTTGCCAGTGCCCTCACAGAATTATCCTAGAAGCAGTTAAAATAGAGAAGCATTTTTCTCTTCAAAGCTCAGTTTTAAAATGTTGGTTAGCACATTTCTTCCCATTTTCCCTTGGATTCCTTTAGGCGTTCAGTGCCTAAAATAATGAATTATTTAATAAATTCTACCCTATTACTATGTTTTTTAAAAAAATATATAATGCATTAGGTGACAGTTTGCATTTAGAAATGAAAATCCCATCCTAATACCATGTTTAAAAACTTGTGTGAGAAAACAAAGGTCTGGAAGAACAGGACTTCTTGCAAAGTATTGTAAAGGCCATTACAGCCAGAAATCCTGTTCTATTAATATCAAATGTTGTTCATCTTTTAATGTTAGATTCAAAGAAACAGCATTGGTACAATTAAATCCTATGCAAGTTTGTTTATTTATTTATTTATTTATTTATTTATTGGACTTATATACCGCCCCATAGCGCTACAAGCACTCTCCGGGCGGTTTACTTTTTTTTTTTTAATTATACAGGCTACACATTGCCCCCCCCCCTGCAAGTGGGGTACTCATTTTACCGACCTCGGAAGGATGGAAGGCTGAGTCAACCTTGAGCCGGCTACCTGGGATTTGAACCCCAGGTCGTGAGCACAGTTTTAGCTGCAGTACAGCGTTTTAACCACTGCGCCACGAGGCTCAAAAAGTTTACTTGATTTAAATCCCACAGAGTTCAGTGTGACTCTTGCATGAGTGCACGTAGTTTTGTAAACATAGAATGGTTCCAGTGGCTGCCTCCTGGCCCTTCCTCCATTTGTGTATGATTCCATACATGTAAAACACTGTCCTTGCTTCTGCTATCATTTGCCAGCCTTTTACTGAGTCATCATCTCGTTGCAAAACTGGATGCAAATATATATGAACCTTGAGCATAAATGTCAGCTATGTGGCTTGCATAATGGTGCCTAATTTGTCCCACTGTCATGTGCTTGTTTGCTTAATTTCTAAAATAACAGGGGAAGTATGAGTCTGGTTCTTGTTTTATTGTCTTTGTTTTTCCATCTCCTCTCTCTCAAATGTTAGTAGATTCAAAGCGGAAGAGAATTTCCCATTACGGAGGCAGCATTGACCACATTGAAAATGCAACCGACTCGACTCTCAAGCAGTGCCATGTGGAGCCAAGTTCCAGGACCTCTTCTGTCTCTGCCACCTTCTTGGCTGCTTCTGGTTCTGCTGCTCCCTCAAGACTACAAAACAGACCCAAAGGTATGTGACCGCATTAACCTGGTTGGAATATGTGCCATGGTAACCCTCCAGTGTCTTATTTGGAAAGCACATTCCATGCTCAAAAGGAGGAGAGTCCACAGTGTCCAAGCATTGTTTAGTTCATAGCTTCACCAGATCACTTTTTGACTGTCCTGTCTGTTTTATAGCAGCATTCTTGTATGTGGGAGTGGAAAAAGAGCCAAATTAGTAGGAAATATAGTATAGTCTCTGTTTCAGCTAAACAGAGACTAAATTTCCTAAGTCCAGATATATTGGGCTTGGAGATTACACTTAAGGAAAGGGTGGGCAAACACCAGAGATCTGGGGACTGCAAATTGTAGCACAGTTTTGTATTTTGGTAAAACTCCTGTGGCTGCATAGCCAGAAGTACATGGATTCTCAGGGCAGAATAGCTCCAAGTTCCACAGAATCTATCCCCTTTTCCCATTATTACCTGGCACTTACAGTCTCAGTAAATGAGACATTAATAGTAGAAAGAATAAAAAGGTTTCGTTACTTACAATTGAACAGCTTAAACAGCAAACTAACAAAAAAAAGGCTACTGCCTCAACAGAGTCACTGCTTCCAGTAACTAATGAGAGGAAAAAAGACACAGTGAGCAGAGAGGCAGGGCTGTCTTTGAATTCAAAGGCAGGAAAGGGACCATAGGTTAGTGCTGGATAGATTGATACTCAGCCCAGCTGAGAAAGGCCTCCCCCAGCCAAACCTACTAAGGGCAACATGCAAGGTTGAAAAAATCTCCAACACCAATTTCCATCCGTGGACATTGAATGGCTGCAGTGTCACCACTACATTTCTTCTTTTAAAAAGATCTTTTTATAATTATTGTTGGGATTTTTTTAAAACTCTGACATGAGAACCCGTCATCCCCATCCAGTAGCCTGCGGACCAGAGGTGATGAGAACTATCAGTCAGCTCTTTTGTAAGATGAAGGTTGCAAAAGTCTAAGGTAACCCATGAGACAGGGGCTTCCTTCCTTGTTTTCCTTGTGTAGGTCAAGTATGTTACCAGTGGGTTGCCGTCTTGAGGCACTTTGTTCCAGAGATGAGAAAAATGAGTTTTTCCCCTCTCTCTGCATTGATTCTTGCCCTGTCTTGAGAACAGGTATTGGGGAAATAACACCCTACAGTGTAAGAATTTGAAGCAGTGCCAGCCAACCCCATGTGCCCATCCCAGCCATGTATTCTGATTGCTATGTATTCTATGGCCAGGGTTAGTTTTTGAGGTGGATGTTGGTAAAATTCCTTTTGCTGCAGTATTCCCTTTAGAACTAGTTCTGCCACACATATTCCAGTCTCCCAGTTTTGGCCTTTTATCATTTCTAAGGTTAAAAATCTTGGCTACACGTGTTCTCTAAGAGGCACATCGCCATCTAATGTTGTTGGCAGTGGACCAACTCCAGAGGCTTTATATGGCCATTGCCTCTCCAAAAGCTTGGAGTCATATTGGATAGGAAGCTTGTAAGAGTACTCTGTTTGGGAAAAACAAACCTTGGAGCTAAAGACAACAAGTTACACAGAGTCTCTTACCTAGCTGCTTCAAATCCTCCCCTTCATTAGCAGAGTAAAGACGCAGACGTAAGAAAATGCACAGAGAGAGTTCTGATAAAACTTATAATATACTAGGCTTGGTTAGACATAAATACATGGCAACATATACATTGGCATAGACTTCTCAGAGCAACATTATATTCACATTCAAGTAAAGCAAATGACCACCAGACTCACAACTGAGTGACAAGGATGCTGCTCCCGTACACCTTGTTCACTTAAAGGAACAAATCCTGACAAATATATCTCATTCATCTATCCAGGCCATAATTCAGAGGGCGATCTATATGAAGACTTCCCTGAGGGAGAGCTTTCAAGCAAGCAGCACAGTAAGTTAATTAAGGTTTCCCCTTCATCTTTGATTCAGAGCACCGAAAACCCCTTTTCAGAGGGAGGGACCTCCATTGGGTAGGAGGAGCCAGAAAAGCCTCACAATCCACAAGCTAAGTTGCACAGTCAGGATTGACTGCAAGGTAACGGCGTGGATTTCTTAGTTGTATTATGAAAAAACATCCTGTTCTTCACTGAGGTTATTCCAGATTGAAGATGTTGCCCTTTTTCTTTATAACTGGATGCAGCTGAAAGGCAGGACTTGTCCTAGACTCTTATATCTTCTTTCATGTCTCTTCTTGCTCCCCAGAGTCCAGGCCCAACAGCTTAGAAAATAGTGAAAATGCATCCACCAGCAGTTCCCCTCTAAACTTGAAAGGTAAAATCTTTTCACAAATCTCTGGTGTATCATAGCCCAGTAAATTTACTTAAATACTGCACTAAATTTCTGATAAGACTAAATCGTAATTCCACTGGCAAAGCCCTTGTTACTTCCATCTGTCTATCGTTAAGTATCTGACTGGCATTAAATTAGCATCTGAAAGCATTAACTTCGCATCCTCACTAAGGACGCTTCGGTGGTGTTTAAAGCAAACTTCTTCATAAAGTAAATTTAAAAGAGAATAACACTGTTCTTTCTGAATCTTCTGATCCAGGACCTTTCGAACATATTCGTGGCAGATCAGAGAGTTTTAGCAGTGAAGACATGGTGCTAAGTAGAGTCACGCCTAGTTACTCTAGAGATGGCCTATTCTCTCCCATCTCTTCAGCTGTTGTGGGCTCCAGCACAAAGCTCAATGCCTCACTTACTAGAAATGGCTTCTCTTCATATGATATACCTCAGAAAAGCATCCAAACACAACCGCAATCTGTTAGGCACCGATCTGCTTCTCCGGGAAGTGAAATGGTGACCTTGGAGGAATTCCTTGAAGAAAGCAACAGCTTGTCTCCACCAAATGTAAGGAAATTCTCCAGAAAACATGTTTCTTTTTAAATAAAAGGGAGAGGGAGAGCAGAAAATGGAATTGTGAAAGTCCCCAGCTGGATTGGCTGCTAATTGATCCTGTCAGTGTTTCAATATTCTGTGTTTGGCTCCAGTGGCAGAATTTGTGCTCTTTAATATTATGTGGAACTTAATCTTTGGGTTTCTGAGGAATTTATTTTCCCCATATAAGAATCAGTGTGGTAACAGGGGGGAGTAATGTTCCAAATAATTGGCAGTAGAGGGAATAGCCTGCAGACCCTTGGGGGGAAAGAACATGCCTTCGCTCACCTCAGTATTTTGGAATAGATCGCTAGCCTTATGAGGTAAGAAAACTTACCATTTTTAAATGAAAACTACTTTGAGCACATTTTTATTATTTTCACAAGATTTATTTATGTCTTTATTTACTTTTACCACAAGTTAATTGCCAGATGGTTTTTTACACAAGCAGTGTTAGGAAACCACACTGTTTTTAAAATTATAATTCTAGGGTATCTAGAATAATACTGAGATTCTGTGCCCAAGACCTTCGCATTTAGGGTGTGTGTTTTTGTATGCACATATTTCAGTTTATTGCTAATTTGTATTATTATTATTTGTTATCAATTCTGTCATTTCTTTCTTTTGTTATCAATGCAGTCATTTCTTTCTTTTGTAGGAGATTTCAACCAGAGATGACTTGGTGAGTGACTATTTCAGAAAAGCAAGTGAACATCCCTCTGTTGGCAACCATTTTTCTCAGGCAAATCGGAAGGAGGCAACAAAGACGCCTACCAGCTATGTCACTCCAACGGTTAAGGTGCCTGGGACTGAGGAAGATGGAAGACTTGCTAAGCCAGGCCACTATGTCAAACCAAACCTTAGGCCAACAGAATCAGAATTTGTGGCAAACCCCTCAGGTGCCTACAAGCTCCCCCCTGCATCTCATAATCAACCCAGCAAGGCATCAAGGCAGACAGCCCAGGCTCAGCCATGCAGTACTGCTAGCAGACAGAGCACTTCTCTGAATCGTACCTTCAGTTTAGCTTCAGCAGACCTCCTCAGAGCTACCGGCCCAGAGGTATACAGACGTTATGATAGCCTTCCGAAGCCTGTGACAGCTGATACCCAAATACGAAAGGACTCCAGCAGCCAGCATTCCCACCTCTCTTTAGCCGCTGGCTCTCAGGTCTCTCTGAGAGAGAGGCCTCAGTCTGCGAAAGTGGCAAGTTCTTTACAAAGTGTTGATTCTCGCTGTCGACAGCTTGATGTTAGGCGCCTCTCACTGGCACCTCCAAAAGATGAGAGATTGCTCTTGTTCCCACCATGTTCCCACTCCCCCACTGCTTTGAAGGATGATGCGAACATTCAGGCACCGGAACGAGCAAAGACAAGTGTGGAGCAGCCTTCTTCCCCTCCTCAATACACTGCTTCTAAAATGAAAGCCAAGCCAACCTCACGGTCTGGGGAGGTGGCTACAGTAACTCCTGTTAGAGTTGTCTCCAGCGGTTCTGAGGGGAGTAGTCCCCAAGTACCAGTTTCAAGCGACACTTCCTTTGCCAAATGCCAGAGGCAGTCACCAGAAAATAACAGTTTAGTAGGAGGCACTGAGGATGCAAACAGAGGGGTCAGTTCCAAAAACCCTTCAACATCACCAGACGCCCATGGTGATCAGCAGACTGTTTGGTATGAATATGGCTGTGTGTGATACTTTTTCTCACCCTCCACTTCTGTTCCCTAAGGGAGATATAAATTTGTGTTTCACTACTGAAAACTTGAAATGATAGTATCTCTAAACACAAAACCACCTATGTGTTGTCTTAATTGTCTTCTAGATGCTTACAGTGTACTGCGACAAACTGCATTGATACTCAAGAAGAGAAAGACTGACTTGCCAAATATGGCTGCGCTTGTGCCTAGAAGATCACATGAACAATTTAAACAGGTCCTCTTCTTCCTGCCCTCTCCCGAATCAAGGAATTTGAAATTTAATTCTTGGAAGCATCAAGTTCTCACCATTTGCTTCCTTTCTTAAAAAAAACACTGTTCTTTATTAATTGTTGAATTGTGTACATGTATGTGCATTTGACTACTGAACTTTAAACCTTACTGAAACATTACTTAGTTCAGCCGAGGCTTCCCTCTTTAAAATGCCAGTTTTTTTTTTACTTATCTGCAAGTCTCTTCTTGGGTCTCGTTGAAACAGCTGCTCTTTGAAAAGAAGATGACTAGCACACAAGGCAGGGTAAAGAACATGCTCCTCCTGATGTTGTTGGACTGAAGTTCCCCTCAATTCTAGATAACATAGCCTGTCTTGAGGGAGAATGGGAGTCACAGTGCAATGACATCAGGACATACTTGCCCCACATCTCACATTTGCTTCAGCCCCCTCAGTCTGGTGACCACCCATCTTTAACTTGCCTATTAAATGTCTTGTTCTTTGTGCGTTTTTGTTTGATTGTTTGTTTGTTTGTTTGCTGCACTGTGGTGCAGTAGAGGTGCTGCCTTTTGATAAGTCCTTTATGTTTTGTCAATAAAAACAAGAGAAACACTGGAACTGATTGCACCCTTATTGTGGGTCAGTGTCTCCCTTCAAATGAGGGCTCACCAGGCAACTGGCATTTGTTTTTTCTACTACTGTATTCATTAGGTTGCATTAAAAGTGATTCTCTTTCTCCTAGAAAACAGTTACTGTCATTTTCCTTGCCTCAAAATGTAGAGTTGCTTGTATCCTATACGATACATAGCAGATTAATTTTATGACATTGGCGCTGCTGCCTTCCTCAGACTAGTTTGTCCACTTGGAACACATTGAATCATTGAGGATTTCAGGCCTGGGTTCTGACTCGGTCAGTTGGATCTGTGTAGAAACCAAAATGCATTTCTATGCACATTAAAGAAATGCTTTTAAAAATCCTATTTATGCCCAGATGAAGTCTTTTCACTTCATGGGGTTTGTTGACTGCTTATGTATATCTTGTGCGTTTTTTGCTTGTAAAAGAGGCATTTTCTTTATAACAGATTAATGGAATTGTAAAACTTCTCTTGATTTTGTGATTTATTATAGTGAGAGAACACATATTCTGTAACAGTTGCACATGACCAATGACTAGTGTGTGTCATAGCGTGTACCAATCACATTGTGAGAAAAGTCAGGTTGTCTACAATAAAGGATTTTTAAAATACATAATTTGATTTGTTTTACCACCAAGATACAGCTTTTGTAAAGGTTTCCCAACCCCTGTGGAGTTACATATTTCAACACATTTTGGTGGGTCATTTTTTTCTTCAAGTTGTGTGTTTTTGTGTCTGTAGCACCCTCATAAAATTAAGGCTCTATAGAAGTCTAACTCTGTTGATTGGTTTATTAAAAACAATCCCTTGACCGAGCTCTTATCACATATAATAAATGATAATAATGTGCCATCAAGTCAGTTCTGACTTACAGAGGCCTTTTGCAGAGTTTTCCAGATGGATTTAGTTTACCAGCCTCTTCTTCTGGTGGCATCTTGGGACTGTGCAGCTTTCCCAAGGCTCTACCCATAGGAGACATAGTGGGAAAGTCTCCAGTGGGGAAATGGGAATAAAAAGAGGTAATAATGATTGCATGCCGTCAAGTCAATTCCAACTTATCTTAGAATTGACTTGCCTCATTTTTGTGGGCCCCCCAACCTCTGGCTCGGCAGCCAGATACCTAAGCCACTGAGTTATTCAACCAGCTTGGGGTTTCATATGGGCCAAGGGAAACCAGAATGGAAGAAGTGTAGTTAAGGGAATTGTGCAGAGCTAAATCATGTTGCCTAATTGCAACACATTTTGTTAACAACTGTATTGTACTTGAATGTAAACATAAAAGGTAAAGGTAAAGGTTCCCCTTGACAATTTTTGTCCAGTGGTGTTTGACTCTAGGGGGCGGTGCTCCCCCCGTTTCCAAGCCATAGAGCCAGCGTTTTGTCCAAAGACAATCTTCCGTGGTCACATGGCCAGTGCGACTTAGACATGGAATGCTGTTACCTCCCCACTGAAGTGATCCCTATTTATCTACTTGCATTTGCATGCTTTCGAACCACTAGGTTGGTGGGAGCTGGGACAAGCGACAGGAGCTCACTCCGTCGCGTGGATTCGATCTTACGACTGCTTGGTCTTCTGACCCTGCAGCACAGGCTTCTGCGGTTTAGCCTGCAGCGCCACCACGTCCCTGAATGTAAACATGCCGTTCTGATTTTCTTAGTCACACATTTTAAGTTAGGCTGAACTGACTTGACAGCACACAATAGGGCTGGGTTAATAGCACACTGAACTGGAGCATTTGGCTGTGGAGACAGGGGGTTATCAGTTTGATTCCCTGCTGTGCCTCCTGCGAGTAGAGCCAGCCTGTATGTCTTGGGCAAGCTGCACATTTCCAGAATGCCCACAGAAGAAGGGAATGGTAAACTACTGAGTGCTCTGTACCTGGAAAACAGCAGCGTAAGTCAGAATTGGCTTGACGGCACACAGTTTTTGTCAAAAAAAGGATAACACATATAAGGCTAGCCAACAAGGTTTGTGGCTCTGCAAAATTTTGTGACAAATTCCTGAAGCCACAACCCCCATGTTCATTATGCAATGAACCAATGGTTGGAGAACATTTTTTAGCCAAGGGTCAATTCAGTTTGAAGTTCTCAGAAGGGAGCAAAGCCAAAGCATGGGACAGAAAACACTGGCAAGTATCAATATGAGCTGTTACTGTCAAGTAAGCAGGATGCACGTCAACCTTCTATTTTGCCTAGAAAACAGTGTAGCTTTCCAGTTGCATATCCATCTTCTCCCTAATTACATACAGGTCTTCTCATTTACCAGGAACAGAGAGGGTGGAGCTGCTTCATTCTCTTGACCTTTTAACATTGAAGAAAACATGCTTTAGATTATTGATTTAAAACAGAATCTAAAAACACGGTCCAGTTTACAAGCTCAAGAGAAACTATGCAGACAAGCCAACCTTGTAATAGTTAAAATATTTCTCACACAACTTGTAGCATGTTTCAGACTCTAAAACATGGCTGAAATTTCAACATGCCTTTTACCTTTATTGTTTTCCTATCCTTTCACCACGCAACTGTTTTTCTATGTTTATATTAACAGCTTTATCCATGGTAGCAGCAGTTGGCAAGCTTGCTTTTTATTAAATTAAGGCTGGTGTATAAGATTAGCAAAAATCATAGCAATATGCCCATGGTATGTGTCTGAATTTTCAGGAATGATTTTTACAAACTTAATGGTGACACTGCCATGCATCCAAAGTTGTGGAGGAGAGACCATTATGGCAACTGTACATTTGAATATGCTTACAGTATATACCTTAGCATGTGCAACTGGGGCTCTCTCTTGTCCTGTTGGCATTGCATTTTCTCTTTTTTGATTGTAAATAGTGCTTAATAACTTCTGGTAATTATTCTTTCAGTGGTGTTACAGTAAAATACTTAAGTTCTAAGAAAGCCAGGATGTGACTTTACTATTTCTTTTGTATCTAATTGTAGACATTGCCTGTTTATCTTGCTTTTGAAAAGAATTCCAAGTTGGTTACAGAAGAAAACAAAACAGTACTAAAGTGATCAAAAATTAAACCGCTTGAAACAACACATAGTCTCAAACAATGTAAAACCATGTCAGGATTGTAGTTTAGAATTCTGTTCCTTAAGTCAAGAGAACAGTAAACTGGTTTAATTTCAGTGGCTAAAGAGAAACGAGAAGAAAAATAGCAGTTCTGATGGTGGTAAAGTACATTTGGTTTGGGTTGTTTTTTTGGTTTTCTTTTTAATCTTGGCATCAAAAATAAATATAGTGCTGTAGAGGCAGTATTTTGTGCAACTGCATTGCAGTAATCTAAAAATGAGCAACAAGAACAATGGAGTGTTCAAAAACATGCTGTATTGTAATTTCACATAAAGGCATTGCAATATGGATGGATTTTTTCTTTATTCCTTCCCTAATAATCTCTTTTATGGATTCCCCCACTTTTCCGTTCTCATAGTATGCCAGGATTGTATCTAATCTGCAGATATCTTGGACAGCCATTGCTAGTTCCCTTCCACAGGGCAATTCTCTCCTGTAGCTAATTCCAAGTAAGAGTAGTCCCACTGATTCAGTATCTGATTGGTAAATCAACACGTGTATAATTTCCATTGCTCCATCCATAAGCTCTATACTTAGGACATTGCTATATTGTGTGATCCCTGCAAAACAAAGAAGGAAGGAAGGTAGGTAAGTAGGTAAGTATTCTATATGCCAGTTAAGATCCATGGCATTGTACTATATGTTCCTGAACTGAATCTTGGTGAATCCATTTAAATTTCTGATAAAACCTACATAGATGTGTTAAATAAACAGAGGGGATATTGTAATGCTATAAAAGTCTGACCAAAGTTATAAATCAAGATGGTGGAACTTCCTTTGAGGAAAGGCTAAAACACTGGGACTCTTGGGTTCTTTGATAAAAGAAAATTTAAGCAGAGTGAGGTGTAATGATATAGAGGAAGTAAATATAGAATCTTTCCCTCCCCCTCATCCATCGTTCTAGAACTCTGGGTCGTCCAATTAATTTGATTGGCAAGCAAAAGAGAGTATTTGCCACATTACACGTTATGTCTCCTGTTCACTGTCTTTACAAAAAGACCAGCCACATTTATAGAGGAGAAGGTTGGTCAACACATAGATGTTATCTATCCATGATGATTGATTGGATCTTCTGGTTCAGGAACAGTACACCAAATACCAGTTACTGGGGAATACCAACAAGAGTGGATGTCGACAGCTAGATATTTCAAACATGGGCAATGTGCTTCTGGAATAGGACCACCCCAAGACACCCCCTGAGGGCACATGCCATTCTATGTACAAAAGCCAGCCAACCACATACAGCTACTTCAAAGGGAGTGTTGAGGCAACATCCCCTTCCCAGCGCCAGCAACCGTGGGCAGCGGGCTAATTTTCAGACATGTTGCTTGTCCTATAGACTGAAGTCATTAAGTAGCTCAGAAAATAAGCCAGGGAGTTTTTTGCTATTCCAGAGCATTTACCATCTAAGATACTTGCCTCTTTCTGCCTAATGGTGGGACTAGTCCAGCTCTGGGAGTAACAAGAGGAGATCCTCTGTTAATATCATCTCAAGTTTTGAGGTGGTTCTTGGCTGTGACACTGACAAGAAGAGTAGCAGAGTGGAGTGTGATGTTGTGCTCCTCCTCCTCCTCCGACTCACTGACAGTTTAGCACTGTGCCGGGAAAAGGTTAGTCAGCCAAGAGCTTCAGACGAGACCAAGAGAAGCAGAAGCTCCGTGCTGCTTCAAAGGCAAGTCATTTTCACAGCTTCTTGGATAAGATGGTGCTTCTTGCACGTGAGCCTTTGCTACTCCGTTATTCTTTCTGTAAATCTCTCTGAAAATTGGCTAGCAGCAAATCTAAACTGTTTATCTATGTAGGTTTCTGATCCAATCAAATTCTTATTTTTTTTAAAGCTTTAAACAGAGAGGGCTTGGGTGAATACAACATCTGTGGTATCAGGCTCAGGTATTAAAGGAAATCAATTTGTTTCTGATGCAATTCTCTCTCCCTGATCCAGATGTGCAGCCAGTTAGCAACTACTAAGGCTGCAGTGTTGGGGGCATTTGCTAGTGTGTGGGAAAGTACCAGTTTGAACTGTGTCTTTTGGAATCCCTGGATGGGACTCTCAGAGCTTGGAAAAGTAACTTTTCCAAACTTTGAACATAACTTGGGGCAAAACCTCATTGAACTCAGAGAGACTTCAGAGTTACTTCTGAGTATATATGTTCCTTGTGTTTATATTGTAAATTCCTTGTTTAAAAGATGGGAGTAGGGTCAATCCATAGGTAAGTCCTCCTCGTCAAACTACCGGTTGTTTTTATATCAGGAGCCAAACACACGAAATTATTAAATTTAGACTGCACTATCTCAATCAAATAAGAGCCCCAGGGTGTCAGATTCAGAATTAAGGATGTGGCAAATTGCCTTGAAAAAACAATGAAGTGGGAAACAGACTTATGTGTTTCCTTGTTCTCTACCTTTTGGACAGCTGTCTGGGGATGGGGAATTGATAAGCTTCATTCCCCAATAGCTCCTAAAAGTAGCTGCTTTCCATTCTTCCTAATGGAGCTGTAATTGGAGAAAATATGGGAAAGAAACATGATTTGACTT